TATGTATATGTATATATAAATTATGTGTTTATATATATATATGTGTATATATACTTATAGATATCTGTGTGTGTGTATGCGTGCATGTTATATGTGGACATTCACCCTAGTGCTGTTCGTATAATCATATTGATTTGGGAAGTTTCCGTCTTAAAAAAATTCCTCTTATGTATTTTGTTCACAAACGTATGTAAGGTGTTTATTTGTTACTATCTTATGTAAGATTGTTCTGCTCTAACGTATGGGATACAAGATATTTTTTGTGCCGACCATATTGATGAATTTTGTTCACTAGAATTTGAGAGGCATTCGTTTATCGGTTGATTCGCTTTCTACACAGCATCGACGAGGAAGTGCCATGCTCAAGGCTACGAGTTTCGCAAGTTTACACCGACAACAATGTAAGCAATGACCGTCATATACTTGCATATGCACGTATATATATTCTATTCTACGAATGTATTGAAACAGCGTATGTCCTTCATGTGTTCTGCTTACTGTTGAATGCAAGCCGATTGTATTTGTAGGTAATCACTATTGTATGTTTACATATATATGTGTATACCTGTGTAGTTATGGACATACTTATAAACACTATCTAGTTAGTGTTCGAATATATATACACTTTTGTTCGGCCTATTGTTGTCAAGGGCATGCCGGTGATATTCTACGTATGTACGCGACAGCGTATCTAGCGCTGCAGAATTCTGAACATGTATGGTGCTGTAAGTATCGAAGTACGGATACAACCGATTCGTGGAACATAATATTTGTTGCGTAAATCTGCACCCTCTCGGACAACGGGACAACGCTCCTGCACTCACATACACACACGTATTTATTGTAGACCAGCATACAATGGTTAAACCAGCGGAAATTGAGGGCCAAAACATTTTTCCCTTAGTACGCGAAGGTGTACTCGTAGGGAATGTATGTGTAAGTACTTTTTGCATATCTTACTATACATCCTGACATTTGTTATGATATATTGTGGTTTGAGGTTACTTCCAAGTCTGAGTATCAATACGTCACTAGAATAATCCGCTCATTTGTATATTAAATCTTCCCTATTGTAGCACCCAAATTGCCATATAGGAAACCATCGTTCCTCACCAACGAATCCTTTGACCAAATGGTATGTCTTGATTCTGCCCTCGATTACTCAGAATATATATATATATATATATAATTCATATATATATATAGATATATATA